ACCCATTTTTTTTTCTTTCCCCCCCCCCCCCCCTCAAGGATTTCGGTTTTCGGTAATTCCACGAAATTCTTCGAAGAAACTAATCACCAAGGCCAGAAATAAGCTCGCGGGGCGAATGGCCGGCCCTATCATCGTGTTTAGACATATTGGAGGTCTTTGCCCGTGTGCAAGGCTCGTCCTTTTGCGAGCCCGGCATAATTTTGGCACGCGCGGGCCTCGTCGTTATGCTTTATCCTCGTGTACCGAGCACAGCCGCGCGGCGAACGAAGACAGCGGTGGTCACCATAATCGTCGCTTGCACTTATTAGGGATCGTCCGTCGGTCGTACGTCTAAAGTTAGCGGCGCGGCGCACCGAAATAGTGCTGCGACGCCGGGACCGCTCGCCTATCGTTTTATAGGCAACTGGGTCAATTCTGGCGAGTGCCGACGGTTTTCGTGAAAACTTTATCGAATCATCCGACATTCTCGCCGTTCCCCAACACGATCATTTCTTTTTAATTCTTCGATAAATTTATTTTTATTTCGCATCGGTATTTCAATATAAAAATTATCGACATTCCTTCTTGGACCTTCTTCCCCATTTGTTGTTCTTGTTCTTTCATGTCGACGAAATTAGACAACTATCCGGACATTCGTTGATCAGTCTCAGCCAGTGAACACTTTTTCGACCGCACTCCATTACTTTTTGTTACGAATGTTCTCGAGTCTTTCCGTACACTTAGATTCTTTCATTACGATTCAATAATTCGATTTTCCGTATAATGTTTTTCCATAAACGACAAAATATCTCTCACCGAATACTACCATTGTTAGCCATCGCGAATCTTTGATTCGTCGATTTAGAGAAGCAGTCGGGCTTAGATTATCCTAACAGTAAACTTACACGTTTCCGAGAGACAATCAGAAAAACAAAATCAAAATCAGAGACAGACGATTTACGAAGTGAAGTATTTACGATGAATCGACTTATCAATACCCTGCGTATCGAACAAACGACAACGAGGAACCAAGAAAGGCCGCGATTTTTGTTACAGAGCGCTAAAAACTAAGAAGAAGATAAAAAATGTGCGACGACGAAGTAGCAGCCCTTGTCGTTGACAATGGATCCGGTATGTGCAAGGCCGGTTTCGCCGGAGACGACGCTCCCCGCGCCGTCTTCCCCTCGATCGTTGGTCGCCCCCGTCACCAGGGTGTGATGGTCGGTATGGGACAAAAGGACAGCTACGTCGGTGACGAGGCCCAGAGCAAGAGAGGTATCCTCACCCTGAAATATCCGATCGAGCACGGAATCATCACCAACTGGGATGATATGGAGAAGATTTGGCATCACACGTTCTACAACGAATTGCGTGTTGCCCCCGAGGAACACCCGGTCCTCCTCACCGAAGCTCCCCTGAACCCCAAGGCTAACCGTGAAAAGATGACCCAAATCATGTTCGAAACGTTCAACAGCCCGGCCATGTACGTCGCTATCCAGGCCGTCCTGTCCCTGTACGCCTCCGGTCGTACCACCGGTATCGTCTTGGACTCCGGAGACGGTGTCTCTCACACCGTACCCATCTACGAAGGTTACGCCCTTCCCCATGCCATCCTCCGTTTGGACTTGGCCGGTCGTGACTTGACCGACTACCTCATGAAGATCCTGACCGAGAGAGGCTACAGCTTCACCACCACGGCTGAGCGTGAAATCGTCCGCGACATCAAGGAGAAACTTTGCTATGTCGCCCTGGACTTCGAACAGGAAATGGCCACCGCCGCCGCCAGCACCTCGCTCGAGAAGAGCTACGAGTTGCCCGATGGGCAGGTCATCACCATCGGTAACGAGAGGTTCCGTTGCCCCGAGGCCCTGTTCCAGCCATCCTTCTTGGGTATGGAATCCTGCGGTATCCACGAGACCGTCTACAACTCCATCATGAAGTGCGACGTCGACATCCGTAAGGACCTGTACGCCAACAACGTACTCTCCGGCGGTACCACCATGTACCCCGGTATCGCCGACCGTATGCAGAAGGAGATCACCGCCCTTGCCCCCTCGACCATCAAGATCAAGATCATCGCTCCACCCGAGAGGAAATACTCCGTATGGATCGGCGGATCTATCCTGGCCTCACTGTCCACCTTCCAACAGATGTGGATCTCCAAGCAGGAATACGACGAGTCCGGCCCTGG